CAGAGACTCAGAGAGTAGCAGGGGGCGCTGGGCGAGAGAGAGAGGGGGGTGCGCTATTTGCGCAGAGAAGCGGCGCTTTGAGGAAATTGGTGGAGGAGCGAAGTATCGATCCCAGGACAATAGTATCGATCCGATCCAAGTACTTGCTTAGTATCGATAATATCGATATTTGGATCGATCCGCCCACCCCTATAGCGTATGCATATCGCTAATTGCGCTGCTATGAATAAATGCAATGAGCCGTGAATTTACGGTAATGTGTATATTAAATATGTTAAATAACACATTTCTGTGTTATTTTGTTGTTCTGAAGATATCATAACAAAATGAATTCATTAATCTTTCATTTGGGGATGGATCATGAGCGATCATAGAGTTTAGAATCTAGCGGTCAGAATGAGCGCTCGCGGCTGTTCTAGTAGTTTTGGAATGCCGTCATGTTTAATTGAACAGAACTATTGTTATCAACTGTGCTTTGGGTCTGCTGCTTAGGATTGCTTCTGTTTTCCAATGACAAACTCTTAGACGAAAGTTCAATCAATTTTTATGCACAGTTTGTCATTAGATCTGACAGAGATGAAGTGGTGGCTCAGGGCAGGTGGGGTGGGTGACAAGGTGGGGTTGACCTGGTGCACCTCACCCAACCTTGTGGACACATTACTTATAATGCACCTCAAACACTTTGAGCTTTGTTTAGAGCCACCCTCTCCTGAGGATGAATGATGGTTCCACACTTTCCCCATAAGCAGTTTGTTTAAATTCACCATCATTGGCTGACAGCATCCGTGGGCTGAGGGAGAGGACAGGAAAACGGTTGCCATCTGTTATGACAAACTGGTCCACTAGAGTAACATAGAAATTGAATTAAAAGACAAGGAATGTAAACATAGACCTACCATCTGTCTTGGTCTTGGTCGCTAATAGCTGGTCCATACTATCTGAAGTGTAAATCATCAACTTGAGTCCAAATCAGGCAAATTCTTAGTGGATTGGACCAGTAAGAGTCCAGATGGAAGTCTTTCCTGGTTAAGTGTTGCTGTGCTCCCTGATGTTTCCTCAGTTGTAAGAGGTTTTTCTGGACATTGACCAAGACCGTCTGTTGGGCAGGAAACACTCGTTAGATGATGGACCTGTTAGATTTCAATGGTTTTCACATTTAGTTTGAGTCTGAAAGCAGGAAGCTGCTTAGACACCAAAGGCCTTCCCAAGCACACACATTTACATATCCCTAAACATTCACACCAACTCCGCAGATTACTCCAAAACACCTCTACCCCCTAGGAACAATGGGAAGAATCCCATCCACTCCTTTTGAGCCACATAACCACCTGTTGTTGTCCGGACCCCAAGGCTCCATCCACTTCCTTTGTAATAACACCTTGCTCAGTGACAAAAGGTTCATAAACATGTCCTCCAATACCACTGACTCATGGAGCA